AGTAAATTTGTAAGGTTCAGAGTGTAAGAATGAGTCACAGAGAGAGAGAGAGAGAGAGAGAGAGAGAGAGAGAGAGAGAGAGAGAGAGAGAGAGAGAGGGAGAGAGAGAGGGAGTGGGGGAGAGATAAAGAGAGTGTAGGGAGAGAGAAAGAGAGAGAATGAGACTCTGCAAACACAATTTCCCTCAGAAACACGGTAGGCAAAAATGAAGGTGATGATGAGGTCGGAGGCTCACCACCAACAGTGAGCACACACGGAGACCATGCACCAAGCACTTACCTCTGAACGGTCGGAATCTTTTTCTGGGTCGTCAGTTCCCTCCTGGAACAGAAACAAGAGTCAGTTGGTGGTTGGCGGGTTCTCTGGTGAGGTTTGCTCCTTCTTTCCTATCAAACAGCTATCGTCCTTATCTCCCCTTCTTTTTAATGTTGGTTATTCTCTTGTAACACCTCTAATCTTCTTCTGACCTTATGCAATTGCGAGGGCGTAAAACCTCTACTAAAACTAAAACAAAAGTCAGGCTGGATGAAGACGTCACACGGGCTTTTCTCTCATTCTCTCATGTAGCCAACTCATAGTAGAAGGGAGAGATAGATAGATAGATAGACAGACAGACAGACAGACAGACAGACAGACAGACAGACAGACAGACAGATCGATCGATCGATTGATCCGATCGATCCGATCGATCGATCGACAGATAGATAGATAGATAGACACGGACGGACAGCAGACAGACAGACAGACAGGCAGGCAGACAGAAGCTGGGATGGAAATAGAGACAGAGACAGATTCGTTTGTCAAAGGAAGCACGTCGGTAAACAAACAAACAAACAAACAAACAAACAAATAACTACAACTAGTGTCCCCTGCTGTCTTGCAAAGCGCAATGCTACAGACAGATGTCATCTGCGCTGACGAATAATGTCTTTTTTCGTTTCTCGTAAAGACTCCCCTTCAAAACAATTTGTTCATCTGTTCTACTCTTTGCAAACAAAAAACACGATATTCTCTGTGACATTTATAAAAGCACCCTTTCATCAACTCGGATAAATAAATGCAAAAGCATACACGTGACTTTTTGCAATGAGGAAACATTTAATATGTGAGGCAACGTGGTGGAATCAGGCTCTCGTCAATTTTGGGGCATGTAGAGTTACTGGTATCATCTTAAAGCTTGTTCACATGTCTTTATTTGGATGACAAAATATCCATTTATCTGGTATACAAGTCGAGATATTTGCAAATGAAGGAGGTGGGGGTCATATGTTTTCAGAGGTTAAATTGGTGAGAAAATAGCTGCCAAAGATTAGTTATTTCCTTATTTTTAGAGTCCGTGGTAACTGAAATTTTACATTTTCTGTGCTTTTAATCAACCTTTTTCAGAAAAATCCACAAAGAAATGAGTTGTTCTTTTTACTAGGCATGAACGATGTTGAGCCAAAAAACAAAAACAAAAATTATAAAAATTCTCAAACCTTCGGAAAAATGCTAGTTTCTTCACTTTGAATATTTTGACGAGAGCTTGATTCCACCACGCTGCCTCACATATATTTTCCCGGGTACAATATCAGCATTTCATTCAGAGAGACATCTGTGGCAGGTATATAATATGCAGCCCTACAGTAACCCACTAACGCCACCCGAGCGAAAATTCAAAATTTTCTACTAACTGAAACATGTTTAATGTGTTCCGCGCACTCACAATATGACCTTACGCAATTGCAAGCGCCGTAAAACACTCTCCATCCCTCCCACCCCCTCCCCACCAGTTGTCTTTAGGCCATTCCCACAGAGAATTGTAAATGGGCTAATTTATCAATGTCATGGTCACCTTGTGCCGAACAACATACGGGGAACTAACTGCTGCTTTTTCTTTCCTCATCCCAACATAATTTCCCTCAGTAACATGGAAGGCAAAAATGAAGATGATGATATCGTCATTCTCCTCTACTTCTTTTGTATGTTTGTCACTCTCTTGTGAACTGTTATTTCCGTGGTGCCTTGATAGTCGAAGCAGACTTTGTGCTG